ACTGCAGGCCTAAGAAATTTTGGTGGTTCTGTTCTGGTAAAAAATATTTGCCCTGTGCCATTTGGCAGAATCTGTGGGCATCCAGGCCTCATACTGTACTGTTTCTTTGTTCCAATACTGTACTCTGCCATGACCATCTCCACTTCATAATGGATGTCTGATTCAGATTAGGCCACTGAGCCACATTGACTGTGGTATTATATTGCGTGATCAGTAGCATGCTTCTACTGAGTAAAGACTGTTACTGCATACTACTAAGAAAATTGATTTTACATGATGGCTCTAACTTTCTTTGGGGTTTTAAATAGACCTTAGAAAAAGATATTTGCAAATTTGGTTCTACCAGTTGTTCTTATAAATTTTTTTAAACAAATGGAAGGTTAACTCTGAAATAATAGTTCCAAAAATGATCAGTTGCATTTGAGGGGAACCATAGGAGATTTAAAGGGAACCCTCTCTTCTTGAAGTGGTAAATCATGATCTTGACCAAAATTGTTCTAAAAGTAGAAAGATGCTCATATATCACGTAGGAGGGCTAAGGATCAAAGTTGAACCAGTAAAATGAAAACCTTAAAAATGTTTTTAATTAAATCTGATTCTGTCATTTAACTGAAAAAAAGACCACCTAAGAGCAGACACCAGGATAGCCTTATCAAGGAGGGGATTAAAAGAGGCTGTGCCTCTGGAATAGAGAATGTCTTTACAGTGAATTGTGGTTAAGGTTCTAAATAACATTCTGCTCAACTGATACATGTTATTACTGTTTTATCTTTTCGACTCATAGACTTTCAAAACATACCACCTCACAATGTGTTAAATTGTGCAATCCTTGGACCTTTTAAGATTAATGGGACTATGGGCTCAAGTAAGTGCACAACAACATAAATAAGGCTTTCACGGTCTAGCCTCCCACTAGCAGTGGAGCAGTTACAAGTCATTCTATTTTATAAAGTGACTGTCAGGGCCTGGTCGTAGGCAACCAGACCTAGTGGTCAGAGTCCACAGCCAGGAGTCAAGAGTCAGCTGGGATTCAGAGGCAGGAGACCAACCAGAGATCAGAACCACAAGTCAGAGGTCAGGAGCCAAGCCAGGTCAGGACACCAGGAAGTCAAGCTGGGGGAACAGGAGTAGGAGGCACACGGTCCAGAGCAGGGTGGAGCTCAGTTTTTCGGACAGTTTCCTGTTCCTGGCTTAAATACGGCCAGCGGGCCGGTTGGCTGCTCTGAGACGCCACCAATGGAACATCAGAGGTGGAGCCTCAAGCTGGGGCTGGGCTCCATGGGTCCTGGGTTGTCAGCAGGCTCCCAAGTGGGGAGTTGAAGCTTGGCTGCTCCTGTGACCCAAGTTTGAGGCCAATGGGTCATGCCAGTGACATCTCCCCCAATTGAAGCAGTATTCTTTAAAGAATAAAGCCCAATCCTGCAAATCTTCTTCTCCTGAAGCTTGCACTAGCATTGAGAGTTCAGTACTTGGAAGACTGGCAGAATCCAGCCCATAATCTTAAAAAATACAACTTTTTAAAAGTAAGCGTAGCTCACCATTTTATAATGAGACTACTGGCAAAATAGGTGTACATTTTTTTGCCCAAGTCCCTTCATCTAATGCAAAATATACCAGAACGTCTGCCAATGAAATTGAATCAGCTGAACCTGTTTTATTATTTCATAATAGTTAAATATATAATTCCCAGAATTAAGTGATCAGCTTTATGTCTCCAGTGTATCGGTTTGTGCAACTTCAATATACGCTACAGATAATCGTATTGCATGAGCATTACAGACCCTATCCTTGTCCTGGCACAAAAAAAAATTAAAGCTGCCCTAAGAGTACAGCTGAAGAATCTGAGAGGCATAACAGCCAGGGAAACTACTATCCTCCTCCCTAACTTCTAGCATATGGGATAGATGAGGGTGTTGCAGGAACAGTGTGTGCTGGTGATTCTCTGGCAGTGTGATGTGAGGGCTACACTATAAAGTTTTGTCAGCATAGCCATGTCGGTCAGGGGTATGAAAAAATCACACCCCTTAGCTGACATAGCTATGCCGGCAAAACCCCTAGTGTTGACAAAGTTATGCTCACAGAAGAGTACTTCTGTTGGTGCAGCTAACGTTGTTCAGGGAGGCAATGTTGTTATGCTGGCAGAAAAGTTCCTGTCAACATACAGTGCATCTACACAGAGGGCACTGCTGGTATAGCTATACTGACAAAATCTTTGTAGTGTGGACAACAGTAACCATTCACTCTCCCTAAGCCCTTGGGAGTGCTGTTACCATCCAATACTGGTTAGGCCATGTCTACACTACAAAATTAAGGGCATGGCTACACTTGCAGATGTAGAGCGCTGGGAATTAAACCAGTCTTCAGAGACCACAGCAGGGAAAACGCTGCCGAGTGTTTACACCCTCAGCTGGAAGCGCACTGGCGTGGCCACATTAGCAGCTCTTGCAATGCCACAAAGAGCAGTGCATTGTGGTAGCTATCCCAGCGTTCAAGTGGCTGCAACGTGCTTTTCAAATGCGGGGGTGGGGTAGAGTGTGACAGGGAGTGTGTTACGTGTATGTGGGGGGAGAGTGTGTGTCAGCATGCTGTCTTGTAAGTTCAGACCCCCCCTCCCCCGCCTCTCTGACACACTCACAGCAAGCAACATTCCACACTAATGGCTTGCTTTGACCCAGAGCAGATAAGCATGCTGGCTGTTAGAAACGGTTATGGGACATTTCCAGAGGCTGATCAAAGCGCAGTGATGCAACACCTTGTTCACACTGACGCTGGGGCGTTTCAGCGGAGGTGCAACAAGCGTAATGCTTTTCGTGGAGTTGGATTACCAGGAGCACTCCTGGTGCAGAGTCCAGGTGCTCTACGTGCCTTGCCAGTGTGGACGGGTCGGGAGTTAGGGCACCTGGGGCTGCTTTAATGCACTCTAGCTTGCAAGTGTAGCCATGCCCTAAGTTGCCCTAACTTACGTTGGCACACAGCCCCTGTAATAATTACATCATTTGTGCATCTCTACACTTTGCTCCTTGTGTTGGCGGTGCGCATCCTCACCAGGAGTACTTTTATCGATTGTACTGTCAGTGTGGGGCCTTGTGGGACGGCTCTTGAAAGCCAGTAACAGTCAACATAAGCAGCACAGTGTCTACGCTGACACTGGGTCGACCTGACTACATCGACCTTGACTCTACACCACTTGTGAAGGTGGAGTTAAGTCGATGGAGCAGGACAGTTACATCGGTGGGAACGAAATTCAAGTGTAGACACCTTCATGGTTAGGTTGACGCAAGGCAGCTTAAGTTGACCTAACCCTGTAGTGTAGAACACACCCTAGAGTAGCCCTGAAGCTTTTTTAAGTTACAGCAGAGCCTAAATCAGCAGCTCTGGGAGTTGAGGGGTGGGCAGAAAGGTTGTAGAAAGCTGGCTGTGACACTGCTCCCAGTGCACCAAGCACTGCTTTAGCGATCTGGCCCTACATGTATTATAGCATTACTATATTGCAGAATCAACACCATGTGGACTAAGATATATGCTGATATCGTATAACAATGCTACATATGGAAACAACGATGGGTTACATGTAACAGTAACACAGCACTACCAATAAGGCAGAATACGCTTACATACATGTTTGGTACTGTAAAGTCTTTATCATTGCCCATTTACAACAAAGTATGCACTGGAAAATAAAGCAATTTCTTCAGTACTTACAGATCTGTCCTCCTTGGTAGGAGATTAGAATGTAATAAAACAAATCTTCTGCAGTTACAAAATAGAGCACAACAAATATGGACTGAAGAGGAGAAATAACCGTTATGTCAAGCTATTGTTATGAGCAATGTGAATTCTATAACCCCAATAAACACATAGGAAAAGGAGTAACTAGACACCATTAAACATGACAAATGGTATGTGTCAAGTTGTAAGTTCTTTATAGGGCTTTACGTGACTCCCTCGAAGGTAAAACAATAGACAAACAATAAACTGAAGCAGTGCCACTCCTTATCACACAACAGGGCTCAGACATGCCTTTGGATATAATGAATAACATTGTTTGCCAATATAAAACCAATAAACAGATATTTTTCGGAAATGGAGGACTGGATGACTCAAGATAGTTTCTCAAATTTTTTCATAGTTGGACCACTTCCTCTTCCATTCATAATTGTATAATATCACTTTGATAGCTTTGGCAATTGCTAACATTGAAAATTAATATATGGAAAATATATTTAGATGTCTTTTAGTGTAGTTTCACAACCAGTGCTAACCCACTCTGTGTGGTACGGATGGTGTCTTCCTATATCATTAGGGCCATTGAGCATTACCAGAATATTAACAGAGAATAATATATTAAATCCATCTAGCAATCTGACAAACTAAACTCTCATACAAAAGGAGTATATTGGATGGATATTTTGATCTTTCCTGCTGAAATATTGTCATGACCACCTTTTTTTTCCTCAAAACATTTTTGCAAAAAAGTGCCCATTGGAGAAATTTCATCCTAACTTTTTCGTCAGTTAAAGTTGGCTTTAAGCTTTGAAGCATGAGTTTGTGTCCTACAAATATATTAAGTTCTAACCCTTTTTTTTAATCCTCGAAACTTTTGGCGTTAATGATGCCTTCGGTCATGCAGCTGCACATATCAATTATGTATTGTGCAAAAATGTATTTTCTTTTTATCAGTTTTAATTTTGTGTCAACTTTACTGATGTCACTTTGTTCACTTAGTAGGTAGGGTAAACTGCAGCACCCAATTTACCTGCTCTGCACGTATTATTTTGCATAAGTCTACTATGTCCCCTCCTATTAATGTCCTCTTTATACTAAACATTCCCTGTCTGCAGCTTTTTCGGTTGTGTTGTAATTTGCATGTATATATGTTCATACTGAACAATGTAAACATTGTGGGCTTTTTAAGATGCCTTTGTGTCCACCATTCCACCTGCTTTCAGTTCTCTCTGGTTTTTTCCGCAATTGCTAAAGTTCTCACAATTTTTCCACAGACTCACATTTCGAGACTTCCTCCTGGAGCTGTGGCAGGGCAGTCTGTGGCAATCGAAGGAGGAGTCTGTCGGCTGGAGACCCCAGCAAACTGAACAGCTTACTCCTCAGCTCCATACAGAGAATGTGAATGACGTTTTGTACAATAAGCTCTTTTGTGTTTTAACAGATGTTGGGAATTTTACTCTCATTTTATACTCTTTATTGCAACCACGTGCACCATAACTTGAGATAAGTGCTGCTGTTATTTATACTCATTCTGTGTGAATGGGTGTGTGCATGCTCATTTTTCTCCCAAACAAATCAGAACACTTCCTAGTTGTGCAGGTGAAGATAGTGTATGATTAATGTTGCATTTAAATTTTCATTGTTTACAGTTTAAAAAATAATGCCCTAAAACTATGGAAAAAAACTAATTTAAAGATGTGATAGTAACTGTCATTCATGTTCTAAATTAGGAAGTAATGGGCCTCAGAGGTAGTTGTGTAGTAATGCAAAAGTGATTGTGGTTTGTACATTTCTTTTAAGTTTAAGTGGATCCAGTGGTGACTTAAACACTGCTTCTTCATCCCCTATGTGGGGCATTTTTCTTTGACAAAGAATGGTTTCAGTGAAACAATCTAGAGCAGAATTATGGCCAGAATTGTTTTTAAATAGTCTTATAATATAAGTTGTATCTCTCTTCCCAAGCTAAGATGTTACATAGCTTCAAGCTGTATGTATTACAAAAAAGTTATATAAAGATAATGTACCGTAATGCAGTCTTTACTTTGTGTATAATGGAATATTACAATGTAAATAAGAAAACAAAGTTTATGGAAAGATTCAATACTATTCTTTGTTTCTTGTTTAAATATATATTTTAAGAAAAAGGTACAGAAATAAATGAGCATATTACTGTATGCTAAGTATGTGTATTATTGTTGAGAAAACTGATAGTAGCCCTCTTCTTGAAAAAGTGACTTCCTCAAAGTTCACTTACAGCATGTGTGTATGTATATTAATTTGTCTAATATGTATGCATTATGCATAAATTTACTGTAATACTTTTTCCCCACATATTCTAAAAAGCTACATATTCATATAACTATGTAGGCCATATCTGCCTTGTAAGTATAAACAGTTATCTCTGTACACCAGTTCTGATATTTTAGCAAATCATTTGAGTTCTGAAGATGAGTTCTTAAGTTTCAAACATCCATTCAGTATTCTTCTTCCTGTTGACAATGACGGCACCATAAGATTTTTGTAACGACCAACTTTTGTTCAATGTCTTGCAGATAGGCCAAAGAGAAACAACGGTAGTTTATATCTTTTTTTTTTTTCTGTTCAAATTTGGAAACAGAAAGTCGATACTCCATTTTACCTTTCTCCAGAAGTACAGGATAAGTATGTAGTCCAATAACATATAGTTCACCCAACAGTGTACTCACCTCTTTATTTTGTATTGTTGTGCCTGCTTATAACAGAAATGCCTGCTTCTGATTAAATGGTTGCATTGATTATGATATCAATGTTTTATGGAAAAAATTCTTAATAAATTTATTTTTAAAAAACTGGCCTGAATTAATTTTGAAGGTAATGTCACTGCATGCTCAGAGCTGTGTTTTGCATTGTGACAAATCTGCAGGCTCAGGTCTATAAGGACAAATTCTCTGGTGTAAATTAGTGCAACTCCACAGAAGTCATTGGAGCTGTGCCAGATTACACCAGTGGAGAATTTGGACCGTAATTGGGACTACCAGATGGGTTAATCTCTGTGCCTAGCAGTTTAGAATATGCATTGCACCTCCCTGTTTTTTTACGGTCTCTCAGTAGCAGAGCATAGCTAAGGTTGTGTCAGAATTTTCTGTTTTACAGGGTCTGTACCTCAACTGTCTCACAATTTTTCAGAACCCTTTTTTGTTAACATGCCATGGAGAATTTTAACCAAATTTCAAACGCTAATTAATATGTTTGTAAAATTATCTCCAACCTGTATTTTGTGTTTGTATGTTGCTTTGTAGGGAATTATAGAAAATCTGACCACTGGAAAAGCTTGATTCCTACCCACTTCCACCCCTCACACAGTATACATTTACTGCTCCCTGAGTAGTAACAAAATTGTGACTTGAGAGAGAATCAGCCACTCATCACTACCTCCTTCAGTTCATTTGCATACTTGGGGAGAGTTACTAATATCCTGGTTGTCATGGCTATGGCTGCTTTTGACAGTTGATTTACCTCAGACTATCCTAACATTATTTCAAAGAAAGGCCAGGAGGAGCTGTGATGAAAGCAGACTGGATTTTGCTCCGCTCCTGCTGTGCTCCTTTGGGTTTGTACTGTGGTAAATTACACTGTTTCTTTTCAAAGCGTAATTGTTACTTTCCTCAAAAAGGGTTACATTAAAGTAAGATATAGAATTAAGCTCTTTTTCGTGTATTCTGTTCATATGCGTCTTACAAATTGGGGAATATAGCTTTCTGAATATTTATCTTTTTTTTAAAAAAGCAGAAAATAGTCCCTACTCGGGTTTCTGTTACAGTTTTTCAAAGTTATTTAGAAGTTGCCCTGAGCCTGAGGTTGCAGTAAAACTAAAGTTGCATTTTAAAAAGGTTTTGTTTGCGTACAGTTTAATTTAATTACTTCCAGTATATATTGGTCAACTTGGCACTGAGCAGTGAAATATTGAGCGTTGCAAAGATACCAATGGCAATAAAATATACACTGAAGATGACAAATGTGTAAGTGCTTTATTATTGAAATAGCACATCTATAAAATTTTCTTTCTATTAAAAAAACTAAGGAAACTTGCAAACATACTTTGATTAATGTTATTTAAGGTTGCTCCCATCAATAAACTAAACCATACAAAATTGGGAAATACAAAGTTAAGGATTAAAAGTCAAGCAATGCCAGAATGAAAGTTGCCCATGCAACCTTAATTTGGCCCCCTTGTGCATATGTTAATTATAGGCAGAAGTGACTATCTGTGAAAAGTTTGGTGTAAGTGACTTGCCTAGCATCACATAGGATCTCTATGGCAGAGGCAAGGATAGAATCCAAGACTCTGGGGTGGCATTCAACTTCCTTAACCACAAGACCGGGGATCGGCAACCTTCCCTTGGCCTGCGCCACTTCCCGCAGCCCCCATTGGCCTGCAACGGCGAACCGCGGCCAGTGAGAGCCGCGATTGGCTGAACCTGCAGACGCGGCAGGTAAACAAAACAGCCCAGCCTGCCAGGGTGCTTACCCTGGCGGGTCGTGGGCCAAAAGTTGCCGATCCCTGCACAAGACCATCCTTTCTTTTCCTGCAGTCCCCTTGTTCACTACAAACTTTTCAACTTTTGCAACAATTGAGGCTGGGGTCCCATAGACAACAGACTCCTTCACTACACAGCCCTGATTCATCTCCTGAGCAGATCCGTCCTGTGCACTGAATGAACTGGGCTCCTGTGTGTTTATTTTTATTTGTTTTTTAATAATCATGTTGTTAAAGGCTGTATCGTAATTCATACACGCTAGGGAGTCGAATTAAGGTTTCATGGGCAACATTCATCCTAGCATATCCTAACTTGCAACCTTTTAATTAATACCTTTTAACCATCAATTTTCCCCCCTAATTTTTATGGTTTGTTTATTGACGAGAGCTAACTTAACTAATGCTAAATGGGACTTTTTTTGTTTGAATTGATCAATAGAACATAACAACCCAAAACAGTAATCTTACTTCAGTAATTATCTACAATCTTTAGCAGGTTTTTTTTTAAAGGCGTGAACATATTAGCTTGATAAGACTTAACCATAGTTACTCCATAAGCAGCAATGCTGCCCAATTCTAGAGGATTCAGTTTATTTTCATTTTGAGAAGCTTTTCGTTCCATATGCTCACATTCATTTTTTTGTATGGAGGCATGATAATGTAGAAATGCAGTATAGAAATGGAGATAAGTAGTGTCTGGTGAAAGGATCTTACAGTTCGCAGAAACAATAAGGGCAATACATTGAGCTCAAAAGGATTTTTATGTTGAGATGTATTGGACCAGATCCTCAGCTGATGTAAATAAGTGCAGTTTTGCCAAAGCGAACGGGAGCTATGTTGATTTACACAGTTGAGGATCTGGACATGATGAAGAATGGCAAGATTTTTGGGGGGGAAAACCTACTACTAAGGTTTTTGTAAATACCAGTCTTTGAGGTAATGTCCCTCCTACTATGATTTTGGTGCTTAACTGGAGGATTATCCCTTGTGGGAACTGTTCCTCTGGACTTGATAAGGGTGAATATGCTACTTGAATATTTCATATTCAGATTCTTTTCATTGTGGATTTCATGGAAACAGTTTCAAAATGACCCCTTCTGCAGTCTGAAATGTTTTGGTGTCTAGCGGTTTTTATTTGTGTGCAATTAACCCTGCAAACATTTCTTGTTTGAGTTCAATCTTTCTGAAAACAAGCAGGATTTTTAAAATGGTTTGTGAAATAGTTCAGATGGTGCCTTAACCTTTTCCCCCTTCACCTTATGTTTCCTACCTTGTGGACTAAAGGAAAGCCCTGGTGATTTAATTCCAGCGTATGGGTAGTGCTCCCTTTGTGATTTTTGTTGTTGTTAGTGAGCAACCGAAGTATTTGTTTGCTTTGTAATATAAACCAAATAGCAAATCAAGCAGAAAATGAGTAGCAAATACTTTAGTTTTTATTTTGGTTATATGCATATACAATCTGCACATCACTTACCAATGCGAGCAGACAGACATGCGCTAGCTCTACTCAAGCTAGCATGCTGAAAGTAGCAGTGTAGCAGAGAGTAGCACAGGTGACGGCTTGGGCTAGCAGCCCAAACATGTATGCAGGAGTCCGGCCGGTTTGTACTCAGGCTGCTATCCCATTGTGCTGCCCCCAGCTGTACAGCTATTTTTACAGCACTATCTTGAGTGGGGCTAGAGCATCTCTGTCAGAGCTGGGAAGCACGCTCCCAGCTGCACTACTGATGGACCCTGAGAGCAGCACACTGCTGCTAGAAGCCCGGCTTCATATCCAGCTCTGACATGGGATGCTGAGCAGACCACCTTCCTGCACTGTTCAGCTCCACCTCTGAACTATGAAGCCGTATGTCTAGTGTTCTCCATCTCACTCTGGGTGAAAACAAAACTGGCCCAATTCAGTGTGAAGCCATAGCACCGTCATTACACTAGCAGGAGACATATTAACGCCCAGTGCTGATTTACTGTCCTCAGTCTCAAATGGGGTGCAGAGGTGACCCTGCAAACAATGCTCTTTTCCTGGACAGCGGGGAAAGCAGGCATGAATTTCCATGCTAGCAGAGGGCAGGGCTGCAAGGACACTCATCATGGTCACACTGAAGGCAATGACAAAATTTGCATTGGCTTAATTGGTAGCAGGATCAGGCCCATACTTGGTTCTTTTTTAGTTTAGAAGAAAGGAGGATTATCGAGGATAAGTGCTGAAGACAGACCTGCATCGCAACAAAGCTTGCCACAAACTCCCCTTCACCATGTATTCATGGCTCTGGGCATGAAGTGATACAGACCCAAAAGAAATTATACACTTGACAGCAATAGATGGTTAAAATTATAAGAAAAAAGGCAACCAGATGAAGTGCATGTAAATGCAAACTGGAAATTGATTAATATAAATCAGTAAACACACAATTACACTCATAAGGCTGTTTTCTAGTAGACAGGTTGGTGCCATGGTAGCTGCTCTTTTTTCTTAATAAGCCTTTGCTACTAGAAGCCTAATAGTCTGGTATGTAGGGGTATCGACCCATTTACTCACATGTTGCATGTTAATAAACCTATGGGCCGTGCTCCCTATGTGATTTTGTTGCTGTTGTTAGTGAGCAAGTGAAGGGCATGTGTTCTTTTTAGTATAAACCAAAATTGCAAACCCCAAGCAGAAACTGAGTAGCAAACACCGTAGTTTTTGGTTTTGGTTAGGTGTATATATAATATTCGCACTGCCCATGCTCTTTGAACTCTCTGACAGCAGCTACTCTTAGGCCTGGTCCACACTAACCCCCCATTTCGAACTAAGGTATGCAAATTCAGCTACGTTAATAACGTAGCTGAATTCGAAGTACCTTAGTTCGAACTTACCGCGGGTCCGGACGCGGCAGGCAGGCTCTTCCGTCGATGCCGTGTACTCCTCTCGCCGAGCTGGAGTACCAGCGTTGACGGCGAGCACTTCCGGGATCGATCCGGGATCGATTTATCGCGTCTAGACAAGACGCGATAAACCGATCCGAGAAGATGGATTGCTTATTGCCAGACCCGGAGGTAAGTGTAGACCTACCCTTAATCTTGTAAAACGATCACCATGTCTGCCTCCAAATTTGCACCAGTTTCACTAAAGAGGTGTTTTTAAACAGACTATAGCAAAACTGGCGTAAAACAGTGTATGTGCACTTCTATTTTAATTTACCAGTGGCTTGTTTGGTTTTAGCTTAAGTCTGCAAGAAATTGACTTAAGCTAACTCAATTCCTTACAGAGTTGATCTAACTGAAGTAAGATACTCGTAAAGAAAAATAAGTGTCCACATGAAGTTTTGCACTAGT